AATCTGAGTTCCAGGAGGTTGATGTGCAGCATCATCTCTTGTGATGTCCACTTGCCCTGGGTCATGTGAGTGTCTAGATGCATTCCCCACCATAACAGAGAGATGTCCATCATTATGACGACCGTTGGGGAAGGATGTGCAAACAGAACTCCTGTGCACACATTGTGATGGTCTTTCCACCAGTTGAGGGATTGGTTTTACAGAGGTAGGTAAGGAAAGAGGCATATTTAAACTGTGTCTGTTTGGTGAATAAACAGTTTTGAGCCACCCTTGAAGGCAGCGCATTCAAAGTCTTGTGTGTTCTGTGACGAAGGTGGTGGCTGCTATGTGCTAAAGTAATCTGCTCTGTTTTATGTTGAAGTCAATAACGGCATTTATCAAGATTGGCTAGTGTGATCGGAGAAAACCACGGGACTGAAAATTGACATTTAAAAAGTGAAAAATAGTGGAAATATCAGAAGAATCTCAAACACGTTCCCATTTTTCCTAGAGCAAAGACATTCGTTCTGAGGAGTAAGACCTAAAATGTGACTGCTGCATATTCATGTTTTAAAGTGTGATAAATATTTTAATTTTAAATGTAAAGGTACGGACACAAATATTACATGATGATGTTTTTTATTTTGGATGGTAGTTAAGATCCAGATGGACAGCGGCCTGAAGAAAAAAGAAGGGGGGTGGGACACAAACATCAAGTTAGGAGACAGCAGCAGTGAGCTGTAGGTAACATGAATATATTAGTAACCATATGGTTATACACTCCCTACAGGACAGCGATTCAGACCACACCATTAAAGAAAAACACATCACATGTTTACAGAGGAGCAGCTGCCTAGTCACTAATGTTAATACTTATGTTTTGCTTGAAGGGAAAAAGCACTTCAGTACGTGTTTGATTTTGGTTATAACTGATTTACTCTCCACTCCGTGGAAAACTCTCGCCGTAGCTTGAGCACCAGAGTCGTTTCTCTCTTGGCTTTGGTGAGCAGGGGTGAGTGTTTCCATTCAGCACAAA